CTATGAACGGTTTTTTTTTTATTGTGTCTATCCGGAAAAAATATGATATATACGGACATATATTATATATGTAATTTTATATAATTATATATAATTATGTGTGAAACATTTTTTCCAGAGTAGCTGTTTCTAATTTTCAAAAATTCTTTTTCTAAGAAAAAACAATGACATCATAGTTTATAATTGTAGGTATTATTATGACACATTCCATTGCGAAACACACAATGCGTCCTATAATTTTTCTAATAACCCAATACTTACAAAAAACTACGTAATTTTTTAAAAATAGATAATCTTCTCTTCTTGCAAAAATAAACGATGTTTAAAAAAACGATGTATAAAAATTGTGAATATATAAAATTTAAAAAAAAGCATACTAGAATTTGAATAATTTTCTTGTTCCCATATAATATGTATGTAATATTCGATTTTATTTTGTATAATATTAATTTTATTGAGTTTTACTAAGCGCGAGCATGACAGACAGCGCTCTGGTCTACCATACCAGAAGTCCCGGATTCGATCCATTAGAGCCAAAATATTTACGCTTGTGTCTCCTCTCGGAAAAGGCAACCTTCCGAGAATATCCAAGTAACTTTAATTAGAGTAGATGTTTCTTACACATTTTTCTCAAAAAATAATTTGTCATAAAAAATAATTTTGTTAAATTACTCCATTATGTCAGGTTTTAACGTTAATTAAAATTAAAAAATGAGAAATGAACACAATTCATAGAAAAAATGAACAAAAGCCCTTGATATGATGATCCCTCTTAATATCTCCGTTATTAGCAAATTTTAATAATTATTTATGGAATCAGTTATTCAATAGCCTATAGTTTTATCATAGTATTAATATGCCAATATATGTATAATAGGAATTTACTATATAATAACATATTTTTACTGTCAAGAATTTAAAAAAATTTTCAAGATACAATTTAACATTTAATTATATATGCTTTCTCATTTTTAGTATTAAAGATACTTACTAAAATTATTAAATTACTATTACTTACGATGGGAATAATGCAAATGGTGAGACTTATTTTCTTCAAATATCGTTTCTTTTGAAATTAATTCTTGTGTTCATGACTTCTTCCCAAGTAGTCACTCAATTTCTTAGGATTTACATTAACTTCTTTGATCCATTGCATTACCTTGTTTCTTGTTCCTTGTTTTCTTATTTGAAGTCATGTTGTGCCAATTCTGATGGTACATTCCTTTATATAAAGGACCGTTTCCTAATACAAATATTGTGAAGACGAGAAACTTCTAAGTGTAAATGATTAGTCGATACAATATGATAGATACTAAATGAAATTCCAGAAAGTTATATCTATGGTCCTATGACAATGAAAGCAATGGCAGTAATACAATATTCCATACGTTTTTTCTATATTTATACATTGTATTGCAAAAGTTTTCGCACCCCACTTCCGCATAATCTTATCGATATTTCCAAGAAACTAATTCTAGCGAGAATAATACCATAAATTATATATAATGATCATATATCTTTCACCAATAATTACATATAATTGACAAATAAGTGCTTTTTTCATTTATATATTTTTTATTTATATATGCTTCTGACAAAAAAACGATAAACAAGAAAAGTATTTAACTTGAAGATTATTAAACGAATTAATTACACATATACAAATTAAACATATATTATGTAATATTTAAACATA